AAAAAATGGCACACAATATCAAAAAAATTTTTTGTGTCGGATTAAAGAAAAAAAATCAAAGTACACAAAGAGCACAAAATACAATACCGCAAAATAAAACAAAACCAAAATGGAAACGATTATTTTTATTGGGGAGAAGAAAAAAAAACGATTCGAAAAATCAAAAAATTGTACAAGATGAGAAAGAGAAAAATCTAATATTACCAACCGATTGTTTACTTGAAATATTTAAATATTTTCAGGATGATTTAAGAACATTACATTCTTGTCTTTTAGTTGACAAAAATTGGTGTATTAGTACAGTTCGATTAATTTGGAAACAACCATTTTTAAATAAAAGTTCACCAATTATCATAGATGTATATTTATCATGTCTCACATTACATGAAAAAAAAAATCTTATTAAAAATGGAGTGGATCTTACAAACATTACGAAACCTGCAACTTTTCATTATGCTAACTTTTTACGTCACTTAGACATGAAAAATTTCTATGCAGCCGTTGAGGCTCGAAACAGAGTTAATAAGATCGTCGAAAAGTAAAGTATACAAAATATGTAGACTTTTAGATTAAATGGTTTAAAAGTAGTAAGTACTAATCATAATTTCTTCACTTTTTAATAGTCGGCACACAGATTTAATATGTCGTGCTTTATGCAGACTTTTTACGACAAAGTGTGAAAATATTCAAACGCTACACTTAAATTGGAATTATGTCGGAGGATGGAAAAGATATCCGATCTTCCCTTATCAACGAAGTGCATCGAAATTTTTGAATGAATTGAGTGAACTTTCAATTTATAAAGTCAATACACGTGATATATTCTTAGACATGGAAAAACATTCCAAAAATCTCGTAAAATTAGAAATATTGGATTATTGTTTTGACAATCTTCCAGAGCATAGACACAAATCCATATATATGCTCATAAAAAATCAAAAAAATTTACAAAATTGTAAATTATTTGCATATGGTATTTGTCCTGTGATACCAATGAAAGCTTTAGATTTTCAAACAAATTCATTAATTCATTTTGAATTAATATATGCAAAATTTCCATCTGACAATAATGCTTTTATATCATTATCAAATTGTCATAATTTAAAAACTTTAATTATAGAATATTGTTATTTTGAAAATCAAGATATTCTTCGACCTTTAATTCAAACTCAATTTCCACATTTACGTAAAATTAGATTTAAAAGTTTACAAAGTAATGCGTCAGAAATTTTTGTCGAATTAATTAAAAAAAATTCTATTTCATTAAGGGAACTTCATTATTCTGATGAAGTATCTCGACAATTTAATCATTTAATATTAGAAACAATTGTAACTTATTCAACGACATCTTTAATCTCTCTCACAATTCCCTTTAGAAATTGTCAAACACCTCAATTAATAACCCTTTTATCCTTTTCCAATCAACTTCAAAGTCTTAAATTAATTGGACCTTACGGTCATGAAAGAGCTTTTGTAGAATTTTTACCTGTATTAGCAAAATTATTACCAAGTTCTTTACATCATCTTAGCTTAGATTTGAATTGGGTTATAATGAATAATTTACAACAATTTTTAACAAATTTAAATACTCGACTTTTTACTTTTTATATTTCTGGTTGGTCGAGACGAATTCGTGAAAGACATGTTGAAACAATTAAAACTTATTTACAACAATATAATCCTACATTAGATTTTTACGATTTTTTAAAAGACATTACTTAGATATTATAAAATGGTGGATGAACATTATTTTTGTAAAAAATTAATTTAGAAAAAATAAAATAATTAAAATAATTGTATATATTAATTACATATTCGGCATATCAGATGTACGATCATAAATTTCTATAGAACTTCACGGACAATTTTTTTTTTGAAAACAAAAATACTTGTAAACAAATCCATTTTTTTTTCTTAACAAAAAAAAGAGGTAATTATGGGTCTTCCTATGTACGTTTCGCCATCTATATCAAAGAGACAGCTTCCGTCAAAACAACCGACGTCACCGCCGTATACACCTCAAGCCGAAGAGAGCTTTGACGAAACTTTTCAAAATGCTAGAACAAGCGTTTTTGGTAATGGTCGCGTCCTATTTCATCGTTAACTTTTAACAGAAATTTGATTTTTCGTTTTTTTTTTAAATCTTAACCTTTTTTTTTTCATATATTTTGTAGATATACCAGAATCTCAAACAGAATCAACACAAAGAAGTCAAAGGTCAAGAAGGTCATCTTCATTACCTTATACCTTAGTTCAACAACATATACATAGACTTCATCAACTTCATCAACTTCATCGTACAAGAGAACAACAACATATTTCAACAAATTTGGCCTCAAGGCGTGGATTAAATTCTGCTCACCATTTAAGTCTTAATCATCGTACACAGATACAACAATTACAACAAATGCAAGCTGCTGCACAAGCAAGACGTGAAAGTAATTTTGATAATTCTAGGAATTTTAGGGAAGAAAGATCAGATGATTCTCATGATGAAATGCTTGATTTATCTTTTGATGATATCGTTTCTTCATTAGATAATAATAATTATAATTTTGGTGACATTCAAAGGAATAATGATGATAATAATAATAATACTAATAGTAGTAATAGTAGTAGTAGTAATAATAATAGTAGTAGTAATAATAATAATAATATTAATAATAATATTAATAATAATAATAATAATGACAATAATAGTAATAACTCACATCATCATCATCGTTCTTCAAGTTCTTCAAGTTCTCCAAATGTTGCGTTAGATAATGTTATAAGGAGAGTAAATTTATTAAGACAAATTTCTCAACAACAAGAAATGAGAAGTATGAGGTCTTCATCTAGACATCATAGATCATCAACAGGACATTCTTCTGGAAGATCATCAAGAATGACTTCACAAAATACAAATGTAGATCGAAGAAGGGATGATTTAATTCAACGTGGAATTGATATGCCCTCATCACGTCATCATCAAATCCCTGATTCAAATTTATTATATGAACATAGTGTACCATTTCCTCCCATGCAAAGACTTTCAGCATGGCATACTCGTAGGGGAGTTAATTGGTCAGCTGTTGATCCACCTCCCGTTCAGAGAACGGAACGAAGATCATCATTCACTGACGATTTTTATTCAGAAATTCCTCATCAATATGATTCAGATGACCATCATCTTTCTCGTATAATATCACCAATACCTAGGAGGTATGATTCTAGATTTCCTGCTACTTTATCATCTTTACCTATTGGAAATGATCATGGATTATTATTAGAATCTGATAATAATAATAATAATAGTAATAATAGGACAAGTAACAATGATTCAATCGGGACAGAACCAAGAGGTTCAGCATCAGGAGAAGTTTGTTAGTTTAATTATAAATGTTTGACCGATTTTCAAAACTCACAAGATTTATAATAACAAATATGCAAAGTCATTTATTTCTTGACACAAAAAATTTACATTTTTTATAATATATTTTACACTGATATAATATAAATAATCAAATAATTCATTTTTATCCTTTATGATGTTATAAAGGATAAAAATAACAAAAATTGGTGGGATGGATGGGGTCATATTAAAATTTATCAAACTGTATTAAAATTGTACAACAATTCGTAAAAAAAACCAAAAAAATCATTCTCATTTATTTTTTCCTCAATTGTATTTTTCTTTCGAAATTTTTTTTTTCTTCAAGTTAGCTTTATTAATAATATGCATGAACTTTTTTCTTCACAAGTTATTCAACAAAAAAAGTGGCACAGCAATTTGTTATTATCGTACTGTGTGATGCCTTTGTACTTTTTGATAATCCTAAACCGAGATTGATTAGACCAAATGAACGCCATTTCATTATTATTGATGTTATTGATATCCGCCTTTATGCCGTTATTCTAAAATTAGTAAATAGTATAAAAAAATTAGCTCGTGAAAATTTTTCAAAAGATTGATTTTAATACTTGTTATCAACAAATTAGCATTTACTGCACATTTTGCATATTTTTTTAGTTTTTTTAGTTTTGCAACATTTTTTTTTTT